TAAAGGAATTATTTATTGGTCTGTAGTTATTGCAGTTTTATTCATTGTTTTCTGATTGTTTTTGTAGTTTTCATTTCTTACTCTCTTTCTCACTTCCCTTGTCTGTGATGATTAACAGTGTTGCATTTGGATTCCTCTCTCTTCATTTTTTGTTTATCTTGTGTTTTGGTTTGTGGTACCATGTAGCTCACATATACTAAGTTGTTGACAGCAGTCTATTTTAAGCTGCTTGTCACTTAAGTTTTAACATTCTAAAGTTACCCCTTCATTTGTATTTTTTTCTCATTTTTTCTTTTGTGCATGTGTTTGTGGGTATCCCTTACTTTATTGTAATTATACATGATCTTTCTACTTTTTTGCCTTGTAAGCTTTGTGTTAGCTTTATATTTGTTTGATCCATTGTGTTTACAAAATGTTTTCCTTTGTCAGTGAGAACTTTTTTATTTGCTATATTTTCTTATTCATACTTTTGATCTTTTGTTGTTTACTTAATGAAATCCCTATAACGTTTCTTGTAATTCTGGTGATGAATTCCTTTAGCGTTTTCTTATAGTAACTAGCTCTTCTTCGATTCTAAATGATAGCTTTCCTGGGTAGAGTTATATTGATTGTAGAACCTTGGTTTTCATCACTTAATATTTTGTGCCATTCCTTCGTGGCTTCCATAGTTTCTTTTGAAAATAGCTGATTATCTTATGGAAGCTCTTTTGTTCATAACTGACTTCTTTTCTCTTTTATGATTATCTCTTTGCCTTTAACCTGTGACATTTTAATTATGATGTGTGCTGGGACTCTTCGGGTTCATCTTATTTGGGACTCTGCACTTCCTGAACTTGTATGTCTATTTCCTTCTGCATGTTAGAGAAGTTTTCAGTCTTTTTTTTTTTCTTCTTCAAATAGGTTTTCAAATCCCTTGCTCACTCTCTCTTCTCCTTCAGGTACCCTTATGATGTGAATGTGGGTATGCTTGATGTTGTCCCAGAATGCCCTTTAAACTATCTTCATTTTTTTTTTTCTTTTAGCTATTCTGATTAGGTGTTTCCACTTCCGTGTCTTCTTGATCCTGTTTCATCTAATCTGCTGTTGATTCTCTCCAATATATTCATTTCATTTAATGTATTCATCACGGCCCCCACTGGGGATCATTTTCTGACTGCCTCCCCTCCTCCCCTCCTATGGTTTCTAAGGTTTCGCTGAGTTTATCTGTTCTTCCCCTAAGTTCAGTGAGCATTCTTATAGCCAGTGTTTTGAACTCTGTATCCAGCAGATTGCCTGTCTCCATTTCATTTAGTTCTTTTTCTGGAATTTTGCCCTCTTCTTTCATTTAGGACATGTCTCCTCATTTTGGCTGACTCACTGTGATTTTTTTTTTCCTGTTTATTAGGTAGATCTGCTACATCTCCTAGTCTTGGCAGAATGGCCTTATGTAGTAGGTGACCTGTGAGGCCCATTGGCACAGTCTCCCTATTACCCTTAGCTGGATGCACAAGGGGCATGTATCCCTTGTGTGGGTTGTGTGTGCCTCTTGTTGTAGTTGAGTCATGATTGTTTTTGGTATATCAGTGGGTTTGATTGACCATTGGGCTACCTGGCTTTGAGGGTTGTTTGTGACTACAGCGGATAAGTAGTTGTGTGTGGGCTGACCCCTCCTCCCCCCAGAAGGAAAGTCACATTAACAGAGCCCTCGTGCCAGCCATTCTGCCCTTTGGATGTGTCATTTGTGGAGCTGGTTGAATGGTGCTCTTGTGTGTTATCAAGCTGGCAACCAGTTGTGTTGTTTCTGGAGCCTCTTGGGAGGGCACAGGTAGGGGCCACATGCTGGGAGTCATCTGCAGTTGGTGGCTGCTTGTGCTGGGCCTAGAGGCTCTTGAAAGAAGCTATGCTGTGAACTGAGGCTGGCTGCTACTAGTGCCAATCTTGGGATGCTTTGGTGTGGGCACCACAATGTGAGCTGAAGCCACCTGTCACTTGTGTTGGGTTTCTGGCTGATTAATTGAAGCTATATATATTACAAGTCAACACTGGTTGCAGCTTTATAATAGGCTTGGAGCCACCTGGTGGTGGTGTAATGTACCCCATGAATCACACAAAGGACAACCCAAGAAGTCACATTAAGAAGTCTTTATTCAAAAGCCAGCGGCTGCGAGGGGGCATTAGCTCTCCAAATCTCGCAGCTCTGAGTGACTACAGTACTGAGCTTATAAAGACAAAAAAACCACATCCTGCTAGACGTTGGAATGTAGAGCTATCTTGTGAAAGCAGATTGTACAGAAGCAAACTGAGCAAAGTTAGTTATCTCTAAAAGTTAATTATAGTTTTAGTTTTTGGAGCCATTGAGTCAAGGGACAACATTCCCAGAGCCACTGAGTCAATGGAAAAGCAATTAAAGCAATTTTTGCAGTTCTGGTCCTCAGGCACAGGAAAATAACCCTTGTAAAGCCATAATGTGGGCTGGCAACATAATGGGGTAATTTATGTGAGTTTCCAGGTCTCATTCTGGAAATGGAGGTTTAACTACCCTATTGTTTAAGCAAGCAAATGTTTACAGTAGCCAGAATAGCAGGGTTAAAATTTATGCAGCAGTTTTTACCTGAGATGAATGTTACTATGCTTCATTGCTTCAATGGAAGTCACAATGCATGTTGAGAGCAGTCACCACTTGTGCCAGCCTTGGGGCTACTTAGCAAGAAATACAGGGCATGATTAGTCCAACTGCTTCTGTTTGAAGTTTGTGGGCTTTTCAATAAAGTCCACAGCATAATGCTACTTGTGTGGAAGCCCCTGGAAACAGCTCGTTTTGGGTGGGTAAGGTGGGTGGGACTGCATCTCAAGAAATCACCAGAGCTGGACAAACATTGTTAGCCAGGTTAATGGAGAGCTCAGCTTTGGTACCTGTGTGGGGCTGCCAGTTTTGTGAGATTAAGACTGAACAAAGAACAGTGGTGCCTGCCAGCACTTCCATCCCCAGAGAGAACTGCCCTGACCCCTGACCTTCAAGCCCTTCCTCTGAAACCAGTCAGTTCAGCTCCTCTATGTATGTCCCTGGCGCTCTTTGAACTGCTGCCCCTTGGCTGGAGCACAGAGCGAGTGAGTTTGTGAGTGAGCAAGTGAGTTTGTGAGGGGGCGAATTCTTGCAGTGGGGAAAAGGGGGGTTTCACTCGAGGAATTCCTGGGACTCATTATGGACACTCCTCTTCCCATCACTTTTGCCCTGGGCTGGTGAGCCAGGTGAGAGGCTGGCACCCCTCACTCTTCTGGGGGAACTTTAAAGCTGAGATAATCCTCTGATTTTTAATACTTACACCGTTAGTGTGGGACCTGCCCCTACCACATCCCTGTCCCTTCTACCAGTCTCATTGTGGCATCTTTATATTTTCTAGTTCTAGGACTTCCATTCAGCTAGTCTTCAGGTGGTTCTCAATAATGGTTGTTGAATAAGTTAGTTGTAATTTTGATGAGGTAATGGTAGGAGGCAAACACAGCATTTAGCTCCCACCATCTTAACTGGAAGTACTGCAGTATTCCTCTCCCCCCCCCCATTTAAACAATAATTTTATTGTTTGAGTACATAGATAAATTTATGCCACTTGGGCAGAGTCTGTGGATGTCTCCTATGTCTAGTTGCAGGGGAGGATTTGTTTGGTCTTATAATATTAAGCCAACCAGTGAATACAGCTATTGATCAAAATTGGACAGAATTTACAAAAAGGATCAGAATCCTTTTTTTAAAAAAATTTTTTTTTTTATTAATTTTTTATATGTTCCTCTCAAGATGCTTTTGAACAGCAATAGTTTTCTTAATAGTAGAGATGCTCAAGAACATCAGGAGCAAATCCTTTTGACTTAAGAATTCTCAAGATTGTATTGCCTGTCACTTATGTAACACTATTTTCTCAAGATCACACTGATTTGTGTTGAGTCAGCCCCTTCTTGGCCAGTTTGTAGATCTGCTGTTTCACATTGTCACAGGTCAACTTCAGCCAGGTGGGGATGATGCAGTGGCAGGGCAAAGCTGACTAGGACAAGCCTTTACTTGGGAGCATGCATGCAGCCCATTATGGCCACAGACAAGCAGCAAAAAAAGAGCAATATTCCTTTCTTTTAGACCAGTTACTTACCCACCGTTCAGATAGAAGTTGATGTGGACACTGAGATAAATACTAAAATATTTCTCTGCTATGTGGTAGATTTTCCTTAAATTATGAGAAACAATCAATAATTAAGTATTATAGCCGTAGCCGGCTTGGATCAGTGGATAGAGCGTCAGCCTGCAGACTGAGGAGTCCCAGGTTCGATTCCGGCCAAGGGCACATGCCTGGGTTGCGGGCTTGGTCCCCAGTAGGGGGTGTGCAGGAGGCAGCCGATCAGTGATTCTCTCTCATCATTGATGTTTCTGTCTCTCTCCTTCTCCCTTCCTCTCTGAATCAATAAAGAAATATATTTTTAAAAATATTTAAGTATTATAAAACCTAAATTGGCTTTCTTATTATAACTGGCATCATGCTGTGTATCTTAGTGCTCATTTCATATTCATGCATATTGGGAATTACTCCTGCAGTACCATTTATTTTGAAAATTTGAATGTTAGGAAAGCTTTTAAAAAGTGCCACTGTGTGTAGAAAATGAAATGTTCTATGTAAAACATTGTTTTCTGTGTTTATGAACAATTGCAACTTAATCTTAGATTATCTAACGTACGGCCTGCTTAGATTATTTAAACCAGAAGTTAATGGTTATAGCAGTAAAGTGATATAAAAAGTGGCCAGGTAAATGATCAGGTTTAGTAACAAGTAGAGGCTTACTAGCACTATACATTTTGAATTTATACAGTTTAAATTTATAGAAAGGAATTGAAATTATTTGTACATTTTAGTAAATGTGGATTTTCAATAAAAATAACTAAATGAAGAGATAGTCTCAACATTGTTTTAATATTGTAAATAGATGTTAGCTTTTGTCTGCTGGAGAAATGCTTTTAAATATGGTATCTTAAATTCTAGGTTATGAAAGATGGCAAGTCCAGATAGAAGTAAACGGAAGATATTAAAAGCCAAAAAAACAATGCCTGCCAGTTGCCGGAAACAAATAGAGATCCTCCATAAGTCAAAGAATGTTGAAGCACAGAAAACAGCAGCAATTGGGAATAATGTGTCAAGTGATAATCAGAATTCAAGTGTTGTCATAAATAACAAATGTAGAGATTCTGAAAATGATGGTTCCTCATTGGACTCTAATAAAAATTCCGCGTGCTCACAAAAAAGTAAAGTATCTTCTCAGAATTCAATAAAACCACTAGAAATTGATTTGGAAACAAGATCGCAGTCCACTGAAGAACAAGTTGTATGCCCTTACCAAAAGCCAAGTGAACCAATAGCATCTCCCAGGAATCTGTCTACACAAGAGGCAAAAGATTCACAAAACACTTCTGAAAACTGTAACAAGGCAAATGTAATAAGATCCTGTTTTGAACAACAGGAAGAGGATTGTAATCTGAAATCCATTAGTAACGAACACAGTGCATTGAGTAGTATAGTTCAAATGTCAAATTCTACAGTAATCAATACCTTGGATAAAAGAATTGACAAGATAGTTTCCCATTTAGAAACAAACTCCAATTCTGCATCGCATGATAAGAGGCAAAATGACGTTTTGATTTCAAGTTCAGACAACCATTTTGTGCCTGTTGCTAAAATACCTACGGCAGTAAATTCAGTCATTTATAGTAACTGTACTGCTGACAGTTTGAAAAGTGAAGACTCCTATAGAACCTATCATTCTATCATTTCAAATGGTGAAAATACAGAGTCAACATGGCTGTCATCACTTGACACAGATAGTAATAACAGTAAGTGTATACTTGTATGTCTTCTGGGGAAATCAAAATAATCACTGTCTTTTAGTGGGTTTTATAGTCTCAGATATAGAAACAGTAGAGTACATACCCCATGGGGCAAAAGTATAGTTGTTTGGAAAATAATACCATAATTAATAAGTAATTATACAGGAATAAGCTATTTTGTGTACTCGGAACTATAAACCTATTTTAGTCACACCCTGTATAGACAGGGAAAAGGTAAACAATGACAAATATTTCAGAGGATCTTGTTTCTGAACCATCCTTGGTGGGGAGGGGAAATAGTACCCTCTATATCCAAAGGCAGTAACTTCTGTCAAGAAATCAGTCACAAAAAAACAAAAGGTGGTTTATAGCATTTGCTTGGTTTATTTCATCTACATATTTTCTTATTTTGAAGTTTTATTTATTAGATTAGGAGACTAGTTGAAAGAGAGAGTGGATTTTTAAATTGTTGGTGAACTCATTTTTTTTTTTTCATAGAATTGACCTGTAAATCATGTGCCAAGTATATGTGCATATACATACATACTTGTGTGTGTGTGTGTGTGTGTGTGTAGAGCAGTGATAGCGAACCTTTTGAGCTCCGCGTGGCAGCATTTTGAAAAACCCTAACTTAACTCTGGTGCCATGTCACACAGAAATTTTTTGATATTTGCAACCATAGTAAAACAAAGATTTATATTTTTGATATTTATTTTATATATTTAAATGCCATTTAATAAAGAAAAATCAACCAAAAAAATGAGTTTGCGTGTCACCTCTGACACGTGTGTCATAGGTTCGCTATCACTGGTGTAGAGAGAGAAATGTGCCAAGTATATGTACATATACATACATACTTAGTGTGTGTGTGTGTGTGTGTGTGTAGAGAGAGAGAAATGCATTAAATAATTAACCAATGAAGTTCTAGGGTTAGAAAATCATTAAAATAGCTAAAGTATATTTCACTCAAAGTAGGATGTTTGTGTAGCTTAAGGAAATATAAGGAAAAGCTGAGTTTATAGGATAAATTTTGTCTAGGCTTCAGAGTGATCATTTAACAAGATGAATTTAAAATTGCTTAAAAATAGGATCACCTATTAAAAATATGTAGGACTACCTAAGTAACTGTTTATAGAAATATAGTAACTACTTAAGTAACTAAGTAGAAAATTAAATGCTATAATTTATTCCATTTTTTTAGTATTAACTAGATATTAAATGTATATTAAGTAGGATTGAAGGGGAAATGCATCTCAGGCCACAACCCTACTTACGATATTCATTTTTAAAAATAAATTAGATTGTTGCAGTTTTTTATACAATTGCATTTTCTAAAAAAATGCTGTCAATTGCCACATTTTAGTTTTTCCATTTGCTGAGAAGGTCTAGAAATTAGAGAATTGCCCTGTTTCCTTCATTAGAAGGAGTATTTTTATCTCCGATCTTTCCATTTCCTCAAGGCCATAATCATAAGAAGAGGATGTTTTCAGAAAACAAAGAAAATGTTAAGCGCCTGAAAACTTCAGAGCAAATTAATGAAAATTTTTGTGTAGCTCTGGAAAAGCAAACAGCATTTCTGGAACAGGTAAAGTATCGGGGCTTAAATATTTGCTTCAGAAACTTCTACTTTTGATTAGTAAAATATGGTAAAAGTCGTCCTGGCTAGTTGGATGAGTGTCATCCTGTACACCAAAAGGTCACTGGTTAGATTCCCGTTCTAGGCTCATGCCCAGATTTCAGGTTTGATCCTCGCTAAGGATGCTTAAGGGAGGCAGCCAGTCAATGTTTCTCTCTTACATTGATGTTTCTCTCCCTTTCTCCTTCCCTCCCTTTCTCTCTCCCATTCTCTCTAAAATCAATAAAAATATATATTTTTAAAAAAGGAATAGTTGCCCTGGCAGGTTTTGCTCAGTGGTAAAGAGAATTAGCCCAAGGGTCACAGGTTTGATTCTCAACCCAGTTGAGCAGGAGATGTCTATCTGTCTCCCTCCCTCCCTCCCTCCCTCCCTTCCACTCTCTCTAAAAAATCTATGGGAAAAGTATCCTCGGGTGAGGATTTTAAAAAATGGTAAAAGTTACTTGATCTCCACAATGACTTAGTACAGATGACTTTCACTTGATGCAAAGCTGGTATATGAAAAATGAATTAGCAGATGGAGGTATTAGGGGAAGATAATTATTTACATTACCAAGATATCTCTAGTTACTTGAGAATGATCCTATGCAGAGTCACCCTAGATAGAGTGCTCTGGTAGAAAGAGTATGGGATTTTCAGTAATTATTGCATTCAAATCTCTTTGTGAGTCATATACCCCAGGGACTTGAGCTTTGCTGAAAAATCTATTTTGTACTGGTAATGAGGTTCTTTGGTCTGTATTTGTAGCTATTTGTAGAAATTATCACAATTGCTCACTATTTCAGACAACCCAAAGTTCATTGCATAGTCCTGTTACATTTAGGTTTACTTGCCCTAATTTCCAAGTTTTCGTAGGTATGCTGTATTATCTGACATTTTGCTTTATAGTATCATTAAACACATGTTTTGCTTTCATTTTTGCCCAATTTCATCTCATTGTATTACAGTTTCCATACATGTCTGATCAACTGAGTTTAAGGAGCTTCAGTTTTAGTAGGTCCTGTTTTGATTACCATATTTTGTAATTTTACTGTATTTACCATTAGAATGCCACAACTAAAAGACATTAAGTAGTAAATGGATGCCTGTCAGCTGTAATGGAACAAAAATGTCCTAATTCAAACTATTCTGCTTACTGTATCCAAAACAAAAACACTACTGGTTTTTAAAAACAGGCCATTACAATTATGTAGTTTCATGTTATATGAATGTATATTCATATAATACCTGGAAGCCATTTTGAAAGATGAATGCTGAACCAGCTTAATAGATGAGTCAACAGTTTTTCCCTTTCTATCTCTTGTTTTCTTCCAGGAAGACCAAAAGAGACACTAATAAAAAATATGTAAATGTTCTATTGTTTGCAGGAAAAGGGTGCCAGAATTATGGTAACCATGGATGCAATTTAAGAAAATGTTGAAAAATATTATAGCTGGGTCTTTTTTTTTCTGTATCCTGCCCTCGTACCCCCCCCCCTCGCCCCCCATAGCTGTGTCTTATTCCCAGTGATTAGTAACTGAATTCAGAAATAAGGTCTGATATGGATATATAAAGACAAAATTTAATGTTTGAACGTTTTAATTTCACTGGCATGGAAAAATCAGGGTTTTCCTTCACTCTTATCTGCTTCACAAAATAGTTGATCCAAGCTGACACAGAAAATAGTCCTTCCCAATGACATTTAGGGAATGCAGTCTATTTTATCTTCTCACCTACCCCCCCACCCAGAAATTTATTGCACATTCCCTAAAGACAACTTGGGTTTTAGCTAATTCCTATCTTTTTACCTACCTCTAAATAGCTGAGCTAGCTTACTCTCACTTGATGTTTTGATTCCTGTTCAAACAGTAAACTTTCTAAACCACATCTGTTTTTCTTCCTTGAATCCCAGTGGACTAGGGTCTCCCGTTCGTACGTTGTTCTTTCCTATGAGAGAATTCTGGGGCTGCTGACTTCTTTTGAGGTTTCATAAGGATCTTGGCTTAATTGGTTCCAATTAAATTATTGAAGTAGAGGAGTTTTTCTTCTAAAATCCAAGTTAGTCGCTCCATCCACCATCTTAGATAGTTGAGGCACATTGGAGATACAATTGCCAGTCTTTGTCCAATCTTTAGGCTACTTTGTCTGCAATCTGAAAATTGTATCTAGGACTTCCATCTGATTTTATAATTTTAACACAGTACCATTGGCAGAAGACATTCATAAGGTATTTGTTAGAGGTTATTGTGTCTGTCCTCTATATGAGGAACAACACCACTAAATGAGAACAAATGTCCAATCTAAGAGGAATCTACCAGTTGGTGGATATTGAGTCCAAAATAATCAAGTTATCAGAGTCTGCTTCCATCTGAATCACCAGGAATACTTGTTTAAATTATGGTTTCTTTTTTTCTTTTTTAATTTTTTTATTGTTGTTGTTAATCCTCATCCAAGGATATTTTTCCATTGATTTTTAGGGAGTGGAAGAGAGAGGGAAAGACAGAGAGAGACATCAATGTGTGAGAAACACATCAATTGGTTGCCTCCTGCTCAAGCCCTGACCAGGGCCCGGGCTAGAGAGGAGCCTACAACCAAGGTACGTGCCCTTGACAGAGTCGAACCCAGGACCCTTTGGTCCATAGGCCAATGCTCTAGCCACTGAGCCAAACCAACTAGGGCTAAATTATGGTTTTTTAAGCTCACTAATAGTTGAAGACTGTTCTTTTAGGCTACTCTTTTCTTTTCTTTTTTTTTTTTTTAAATATATTTTATTGATTTTTTACAGAGAGGAAGGGAGAGAGATAGAGAGTTAGAAACATCGATGAGAGAGAAACATCGATCAGCTGCCTCCTGCACATCCCCCACTGGGGATGTGCCCGCAACCCAGGCACATGCCCTTGACCGGAATCGAACCCGGGACCCTTCAGTCCACAGACGACGCTCCATCCACTGAGCCAAACCGGTTTTGGCGGCTACTCTTTTCTTAAACTAACAGTCCCCTTTCCAAGAAATTCTATTTGGTGAATCCAGGGGAGAGCCTGGGAATTTGTGACTTTTTAATCCTGAGGATATGTTTCTCATTGATTTTTGAGAGAGAGTAAGATCGAAGTGAGATAGAAACATTGATCACTTGCCTCCTATAAGTGTCCCAACTGGGAATCAAATCATAGATCAACCAATGTAGATATGTGCTTTGACTAGGAATCAAACCCACAACCTTTTTTTAGTGTATGGGAGAGCGCTCTAACCAATTGAGCCAGCCATCCAGCCAGGGCAAGAATTTGTGACTTTTAATCAGTATCCCATGTAATTCTTCCTCACCAGGAAGTTTGACAAACACTGTGGCATTTGCTTGTTAGCAAAATGTTATTCCCATATTCAGAACACTGAGATATTTCTCCAAGGTTATGAACTTCACTTATTGACCCCAGCCAGTGAACTTGCAAGCGTGCAGTAATCCATAATAACCACATGAGTGACAGGTATTGGGTGTCAGTAAAAATAGTATTGGTATGTGTTTCCGAGCATTTTACATAACACCTATTTTAAGCACTTATTTATTTAATCAAATATTTAAAAGTTGTGAAAATATTAATGACAATCATATCTAATGTTGAAAAACTTGAAGAAATATTAATGAAGCATTACAGAAGAAATCAAGTAGAAAATAGTGTTGAAGAGTAAGAACAATTGAAAATGAGAAGGAAAAACCTTAGAAATAATAAAAAAAAAATACTGAATTACATCCAGGTGATATCAGTATAAAAGAGTTTAGCATACAAACTTTTAAGTTCCAATTTTGAGCACCAAGAACAAGATATTAGGGTAAAGTTGTAAATATTACTATTAAATACGTTAAATGTATTAATGCAGGTTTTGTTATTAAGAGAGACTACCTAACTCTGTTATAAAAGTTGCGTATATGACCATACACATTGAGCAAATAACTACATATGACTGTTCATGGCAGGGTCAAGGATAAAACTTTCATAACCTGCTCCATCTCTACTACAGACCAACCAGCCATTTTCATTGGGCTCTGATTTTCAGATAAGTGGAGTTCCTTTTTATGGAATAGTAGGTTTAAGTTGTATGTTCTATTGAATTTGATGCTCAACCTTTAAAAAACTTACTGGTCTATAAATATAAATGTAAACATAATAATAGAAAGTATACTTTATTGGTTACAGAGAAGAGCAAAGCTTTTTAAGAAGTAAAAAAAATTGCTTTTAAATTTGAAACGGGGTATTTTGGTTTTTATTTTAAAATTCTAGGTCAAACATTTGATTCAACAGGAGATCTGTAGTATACATTACAAACTATTTGATAACAAACTGAGAGAATTGACTGAACGCATTGGGAAGACACAGTGCAGGAATAAACATGAAGCAATAGCTGATGAACTCTTCGTAAGTTTCTAATTTCACTTGAGTCCTTTTAAAAAGTAGAATTTGGTGATGTTTTATATGTTAGGGAAGGAAAACAATATAGGCAGACCCAAATATGATCTCTGGCCACAAACCTGATGTACGAGCTTTCCATAGGTTAAGAATTCATTATATCTTAGCAGTATTGGCCCTTGTCATGCATGTACTTTTAGAAATAGAAGCTATTCTGATATTGACACGCTTAAGTACATAGGCAATTTCTTTTAATTCAAAATACAGGGTGTCCCCAAAAAATATATACACACTATAACGGCAGTGTTTATTAAAAATACATTTCATTTTCAAAATGTAATAGAATCTAGAGCAGCTGATAAAGTGTGTATACGTTTTTGGGGGTACCCTAGATAGTCTGTATTAGAGCTTGTGGAACCAGTTTCAGGGGTTTTTTTTCTTTCAATCTTCAGTATACACTCACTTGCTGATTGGTGTTTCTACCAACATTAATTTTATTATGGATTAATTTGAAGTTTGGTATTTTTATTTTCCATTCTAGAATATTATACCAGCATCAAATATGATGTTTTTAATTGAGTTCACATTGGCTTATAACATTATATAAGTTTCAGGTGTACAATAGTATGTAATCCAGTATCTATACATTGTAGCATCCTTACCACCAAAAATCTAGTTCCCGTCCATCATTATACCTTTGACCCCTTTTACTCATTTCACCCTCTCCAACCCCACTTCCCTTCTCATAACCACCAATCTGTTGCTAAGAGTTTGTTTTTGTTTTATATTTTTGAGTAAAATACCATTTTGCCCTTTTCTGTCGGCTCACTTCACTAAGTTCATCCATGTCACAAGTAGCAATTATTTCCTTTTTTTAATTTCCTTTTTTTATAAACTGAGTAGTATTCCATTGTATATGTACCACATCTTTTATCCATTCATCAGTCAGAGGACGCATCAGATGTGATTTAAATATTTGGCTTGTCTAAGAATTTCTCACTTATTTGGGTGGATAAATAAGTCTAAGAAAAGTACTTTGGCAAATAGTTTTCACTCCATCTCTATATGATATGTTTTTTAGTACTCTGGTTTTGTATTTATTTGTTTTTCTCTTTTTCTTCTAGGCAAAAATAGCACAACTTCATAGACGTATTAAAAAAGTATTGTTATCTGAAAGGAATTGTTTGGAACCAAACATGACATCCAGTAATACATCCTTTAAGGTTGGTATAAACAAATAGGAGTTTTTTGTTTGTTTGTTTTTTTAAATATATTTTTATTGATTCAGAGAGGAAGGGAGAGGAAGAGAGAGAGAGAAACATCAATGATGAGAGGGAATCATTGATTGGCTGCCTTCTGCACACCCCTTACTGGGGATCGAGCCCGCAACCCGGGCATATGCCCCTGACTGGAATCGAACCCTGAACCCCTTAGTCCGCAGGCTAGCTCTCTATACACTGAACCAAACTGGCCAGGGCCATATAGGAATTTTAATAACTATTTTGGCCCACATTATAGTAGTTGTATTATAAGAAATGAAGATGTTTCCAAACTAAGACAAAAAGATTAAAAAAACAATATATTGATACTTAGAATGTTTCTGTGACTTTATCTCTGGGGAAGCCAAAAGTAAATGCCACTTGTATTACTTTCATAAAATGAGTAGAGAGTTGATTTGTGATTGCCTAGACCAGTGGTCGGCAAACCGCGGCTTGCGAGCCACATGCGGCTCTTCGACCCTTTGAGTGTGGCTCTAACACAGTGATGGCGAACCTTGACACGTGTGTCAGAGGTGACACGCAAACTCATTTTTTTGGTTGATTTTTCTTTGTTAAATGGCATTTAAATATATAAAATAAATATCAGAAATATAAGTCTTTGTTTTACTCTGGTTGCAAATATCAAAAAATTTCTATATGTGACACGGCACCAGAGTTAGGGTTTTTCAAAATGCTGACACGCCGAGCTCAAAAGGTTCGCCATCACTGCTCTAACACAAAATACCACGTGTGGGCATGCACGTACAGTGTGATTGAAACTTTAGAGAATTTTTATTTGAAGTGGAGAATGAGTACACAGATCTGCTGCTGCATAACAAGGTACGTTGGTTATCAAGAGGAAATGTTTTCAAATATTTCGCTTCCTTATTAACAGAAATTAAAGCATTTCTCCTTGAAAAGGGTGTTCACTATCCAGAACTAATGAACGATCAGTGGATCCAAAAATTTTATTTCATGGTAGACGTTACTTTTCATCTAAATCAGCTTAATTGTAAACTACAGGGAAAAGGAAACAATTTTTTCGATGTTAGAAGAAGTTACTTCATTCGAAAACAAATTATCTCTTTTTGCTCAAGATTTTGAAAGAGAAACTTTGATTCACTTTCCAAGCCTGTTGAAACATCGCCGAGAAAATAATTCTGATATTGACATTTGCTATTTCAAAACAACACTTTTAAATATGAGGGAAGCTTTTCTCAACAGGTTTCAGGAACTCTGAAACAGCAAAGTGACGTTAGCCTTTGTTAAAATCTCAATGCTACTGTAACAATTAAATTTTTCTCCCTTTAATATTGACATTGGCAACTTTGAAATGCAATTGCTGGATTTAAAAAACAAAGAACTGTGGAGCTCGAAATTTGAATGTCTTTATGCTGATACAGAAATATTGGAGAAAAACAAATGTGAATTTAGTTCACAGCACAAGTGGTCTGCTTTGAAAGACCTGGAGAAGGAAGATATGTTGATTTTTAACACCTGGAATAGTATTCCTGACTCATATAATCAACTGAAAAAACTAGCATTTGCTGTTCTTTCCTTATTCGGGTCTACATATTTATGTGAACAATCATTTTCAAGCATGAACCTTATCAAGAGTAAATTGAGAAGTCGTCTTATTGATGAGAACCTGGAATTGTGCCTAAAATTAAAAACAACAACGTACAAACCTGACTTAACCCAGACTTTCCAAGGAACTGCAAGGCCATTGTTCACATTAGTGTTTGTCAGTCATTGTCATGATTTAATTTTATGGATATTGTAAGGTAAATTTTAAGGAATTTAATTTTATCAATAAATAATATCATTATTAAGTATGATATCAAGTTTTATTCAACGTACCTATAGTTTAACTAAGACTTAAAACTTATTGAATTTGTTAACATAAAATTATTGATAAAATTAAATTCACTTATCCTTAATATTTGTAGAGCTGTAATATACTCTTTTTAAAAAAATATATTTTATTGATTTTTTACAGAGAGGAAGGGAGAGGGATAGAGAGTTAGAAATGTCAATGAGAGAAACATGGATCAGCTGCCTCTTGCATACCCCCTACTGGGGATGTGCCCACAAACAAGGTACATGCCCTTGACTGGAATGGAACCTGGGATCCTTCAGTCCGCAGGCTGACATTCTAGCCACTGAGCCAAACCCGTTAGGGCTGTAATGATATACACTTACTTCATTTCTGATACTGGTAAACTATGTTTTTACCTTAAACAGTCTTGCTAGAATTAAAAACTTATCAATTCTCTATCACTTGTATCTTTTCTGTTTTTTATTATTTTTTTCCTCTTACTTTGTGATATAATTTGGTCTTCTTTTTCCAACTTCTTAAGAGAAAACAACATTAATGTTTAACCTTCTTTTATACTGGAAAATATTTAAAGCTATATATTTCCTTCTAAGCACTGCTTTTTCTTAACACCTTTTAAGCATCTTCTCAGTGCAGAGATTATAATATCATATTTGGTATATTGTATTTTTGTTTTCTATCAGTTCAGAATAATTTCTAATTTTCCTTATGGTATTGTTCTTTGACTCATGGCTTATTTAGAAGTGTGAGTGTTTAATATCCATATATTTGGTACTTTTCTAGGTCTATTATTTTTACTGATACCTAATTTCATTTATGTTAGAGAACATACTTTGTAAAATTTTAATCTTGGCAGTTAATTGACACTTATTTTTTAGGTCAAGATATACCTTCCCTTGGTGAATATTCCATGTATATTTGAAAATAATGTTGGGTGTAATCTATAGATAAAGAAGTAATATGCTAATTGGTCCTAAGGGTATCCCAGTCATGACTGTTAAACAAGATGCATGCGCACAGGTGCTGGTGGGCGGGGATGGGGGCGAGGACTTGTGCCAGCAGGACATGAGGCTGCCGCCAGGGGCAGCCCCCCCATGAAGGCACGTCTAGACCCACAGTCCGCCTGGCCTAGCGAGGGGGCGTCAGGAGGGGGGCGGGGCCGCAGTGGAGAGCTCTCAGCACTCCTGCACTGGGGTCTGAAGGCACGGAGAGGAAGGGAGAGCACATGGGCAGTGAGGGGGTTTATGCCAGGAGGGGAGAGCAGATAGGCAGTTAGGGGGATCAGACAAGGCAGGGAGAGCAGATAGGAGGATCAGGCCAGCAGGGGACAGCAGTTAGGCAGTTAAGGGGATTAGGCCAGGAGGGGAGAGCAGTTAGGGGCATCGATTAGGCAGGCATGTGAGCGCTTAGGGCCTAGTGGTTCTGGATTACGAGAGGGATCCCAAATTGGAGAGTGTGCAGGCCAGGATGAGGGACCCCCTCCCCCGCATGCACAAATTTCGTGCACTGGGCCTCTAGTGTTCTATAAATCACTTCTGTGTTAATTGTGTCAAGGTGATCGATATTGGTGAATAATGGTTCTGAAAAGATGCCCTTGACTGATCCTCAGAATCTGTGAATATCTTACTTTATATGGTGAGATTATCTGGAGGTCTCAGTATTCATAGTGTCCTTATATAAAAGAGTCAAGAAGGTCACAGCAGAAAAGAGATGGGAAAGTGGAAGCAGAGGTTGGAATGATTGCACTGAAAATGGAGGAAGGGGGGGTATGAGCCAAGGAATGCTGACAATTTCTGCAATCTGGGAAAAAGGAAACAGATTGTCCCCTAAAGTTCCCAGAAGGGATGCAGCCCTACAAACAACTTGATCTTTCCTTAGTGAAACTGATTTCAAATTTCTGGCCTCCAGAACTGTGATGGAATAAGTTTTTGTTGTTTTAGACTACCCAGTGTGGTAATTTGTTATATAGTAGCCTCAGTAAACTAATACAGAATGAGCTACCAGAGCATGTGGGATGCTGCTCTAACAAATAGCGGAAAATGTGGAAGTTGATTTAGAATGCAATACTGGATAAAAAGCTTGAATAATATTGAGGAATATGATTTTTTGAACACACACTCAGTAGAAATGTAGATGTTAAAGATCGCAAGGGGAGCTTCTAAAGGAAATGAGTACCTTAGAGAAAACCTATATATAGTCATAGAGAATATCTAAGTCTTTTGAAAAGACTTGGGAAGAAATATAGATACTTAAAAGCACAGTTGGTGAGGATTCTAAAGGAAAGGGGGACAGTGGAATCTTGCTACATAGTGGCAGGAAGCTTAGCTGAATTGTGTGTCCTACAGTGATTGGAAAACAGAACTTGTAAGTGATGAACTTGGATTTTTATTAGGCTAACAAGATTTTTTAGCAACGTGTGGAAGGTTTGGCTTGGTTTCTTGCTTTTTATAGTAAAACTAGAGGCCTGGTGCGTGAAATTTGTGCACGGAGAAGGGGAGTTCCCCCCCCCCCCCCCCCTCAGCCCAGCCTGCACCCTCTCCAATCCAGGACCCCTTGGGGGATGTCTGACTCCTCAGGATCGGGCGTAAACTGGCAGTCAGACATCCCTCTCAAAATCTGGGACCATCGGCTCCTAACAGCTAACATGCCAGCCTGCCTGATCACCCCTAATTGCCTCCCATGCTGGCCTGTCACCCCCAACTGCCCCACCCCGCCGGCCTGGTTGCCCCTAACTTCCCCCCACACCCGCCGGCCTGGTCGCCCTTCACTGACCCCTCTGTTGGCCTGGTCGCAGCCTGCTGCTTGGTCGTTTGGGTGCCCCTCAATGACCACCCTGCCGTCCTGGTTGCCCCATGCAGCCTGCTGCTCAGTCGTTTTGGTGCCCCTCCCTGACCCCCCTGCCGGCCTGATCGCCCCACGCTGCCTGTTCGGTCTTCCGTTTGGTTGTGATGGTTGCTTAGGCTTTTATATATATAGATGTGAGAGGGAAGAGATTACGTTGAAGAAGGAACTGTTTAGAAAAAAGAAACCAGGCGGACTTAATTTGGAAAATTCTGAGCCTATCCAGATTGTAAAAGACCCTAAACTTAGGAGGTTTTCTACCAGAAAGCATGGTCTGGAGAGAAAGCCAATGATGTATCAGAACAGGCCTTTGGTGTAGTGCCTTGCAAAGATTAAAATGTCAGAGTATTCAGTCATGCAGAGAGCTCTTTAAAGAGAGTAGGCATTTAACTCTTTCAGCAGGCAGTTAACCTTATTTATATTTAGTGTGTAGGTCCTGGATTCTGTGTGAGTTATAGTTCAATGAGTTTTCTTTGCAAAGTCCTTGCAATGCTCTTCTGGTTGGATTTATTTTTCTGCCTCCACTGGATCTTCTGTTCAATACCTGCAGGTGCTGCTGGACTCCTCAGTGATCTTGGGTGGGAAGTTCCAGAAATGGTGACCTGTGATCACTGCCACTGCAGTAGATTGGTCCTGAAGCTGCTCCAGATGTGGAGCAGGGGCACTGTTGATCCTTCGGTAGCCTACCCCCACTGACTGCAGTGGATTTGGCCCACTGCTCTTCCAGGTGTGGAGTGCTGGGGATTGGTTCCTGGCTGGCTTTTGCTAACATTGCTACTGCAGCTACTGAGGGTCACTCCTGCCCTAGGTGTCAGGTAGGAACACAGCTGACACTGTTGCTGCAGTGGTTCTGGCTGATTCTGCAGGTATGGAATGGGAGACTAGCCAACCATGCTGTAGGTTTGGGGAGAAGGACAGGTCCCTGGCTTTTCTGGCACCCAGTGCAGAATATATCTATACTAATAATCTATACTAGCAAAAGGGTAATATGCTGATTAGACCAGATAGACTGGACATCCTTCCTGACAAAGCTGGGGCCTGGGCGAAGCCACCCAGGGTCCTGGGTGCCTGTGGCCGGCCAGGGCAAAGCCGGCCCGGGTCCCAGGTGCCTGCAGCTGGCCAGAGGGAGGGAAGCTGGCCCGGGTCCAGGGTCCCGGGTCCCGGATCCCTGCGGCCAGCCGAAGGAGGGAAGCCCGGGTCCTGGTTGCCTGCCAGTAGCCAGAGGAGGGATGCTTGGGTCCCAGGTGCCAGAGGAAAGCCGATGCCGGTAGCCTGGGGAAGGAAGCCTACTCTTACACTAATATTCGTGCATCGGGCCTCTAATAGATGATAAAAAGAAAACTCCGCGAACTCATTGTGGTGTTAATCCTCAATCTGCCCTCTTCTTTCCACCTTTTAGGGTCATTTTATGATTATCTCTTAAAATACTTCCAAGGCATTTAATTGTACAGGGAAGAGAAAAGTCTGTGCCACCTTGTCCTGGAATTAAAAGGAAACCAATATTTTTTTGCTATTTTCTAATGTTTGAACCTATTTCTGCATATAAAATCTGTACATGTAATATAACATTTCAGAATTCTTTCTTTGTGTACCTGTATTTTTGTTCATGTTATCCATCAGTAAGCCCGTTAGTTATGCAATTTATCCTTTTGTATTGATTAATATACAGTGGGGCCTTGACTTACGAGTGTCCCGACTAACGAGTTTTTCGAGATACGAGCCGTCTCTCTGCCGATTTTTTGCTTTGAGTTGCGAGCTAAAATTTGGGTTACAAGCCAGCTTCAGATACCCCACTGCTAGTTGGCGCAGCGAATGTCACAGTGAACGCCACAACATCAGCCCAGCATCACATGTCTCACTCGTTCACTTTAAGATTTGACATACGAGTAATTTGAGTTATGAGCTCCTTCACTGAACGAATTAAACTCGTAAGTCAAGGCCCCAGTGTATACAGATATTTTAAATACTGAAAATTCTCAACCAAATCATGGGCAAGGTTACAGTTCCAAGTTTAAAACAAAACCCAGTGACTAGAAGAGCAAGTTGAAATTTAATCAGTGCTCCTGACTAAATAGTGAAGTATACTTAGCATGTTTTAAAAATTCTTATTGGTACACCGGGTAAAAATCACTGACCTAGATGTTTGTTTTTCCTTCCTTCCATTTAAGCTGGGAAGTTAAGTTGTACTATCATTTTTATTTCTTTGAAGTTTTTTTTAAAATTCATTTTTACAAAAACAGCAGTCATTATCATTAGCTATTGAAATACATATAATTTAATATATGTTTTGCCATCTGTTTGCGAGACTATTTTGAGAATAGTTTCTAAGTTAAATTTTACCTGTCATCAGTTTTATGTGGAAGAAGACAATTCCTAACCCTCCCCTCATCTGCCTTTACCTTTCCCAATTAACAGGTTGTAAATTCAGAGACTCTGAATTTGGATAAGAACCCAGTTAATAGTCTAGATGAAAGAAAGGCTCCTGTGAACTCTCGACCTTCCAACCCTTCAGAAAAAGCAATTGAAAAGATCGATTTGTCACAGGATCATGATGAGGCTGTTTCTGAAAGGTAGGCATTTCCACAGAAATGCATAAACTTACTTATCTAAAAATATGTTTGTAAACATGTACCCTTTTGTCAGTTAAGCATAAAATAGCTTAAAGCTTCATATTTTATATTAAAAAAATTTTATTATGAAGGAATTGAATTGGTTCTCCAAAGCTTTTATTGTTGTTTTAACAGTACTAAGTAAAACTTTCAATTGGTTAGGTGTCCGGTTTCCTGTGGTGAATGGATGATCAACTGGAGCACTTAAGTAGTTTCCAGTGCTATACTTGAAAAGGACAAGGCCTTATGAAACAGTGGTTTAAAAAGAATTAAACAGAAGACTAAGACTAGGGAAAAGTGCCTAAAATTAAACATGTTGAAAGTATTATGATAACTTCAAATTAGAGTGAATAGGTGAAATTACTTGCATAATTGAGTCACAGAGTGGATGAGACACCTAATCTTCAATCTAGTCTAAAAGATTTGGGCTCAGAGAGAAGTACTTTAGTTTAACAAAGAAACATGATTAGTGATTCTGGCCTGGATTTTCAAATGGGTAGGTGTGCATTTTAATGAATTATTTTCTCTTCACTAGTGATTCTTAACTGTTTGGGTCTTTATAATATTACTGTTTATACTTGACATATATTCCTTAAAATGTCCTAAGGTTTTGTTTTTATATGTTAAATTATACCTCAGCTTTTAAAAAGAGGAAACTATATAACCAAATTAAATGATGGCCTTTGTTTGAAGAACACATCCTTTGCTCCAAGTAACTATTCATACAGTACTGATCTATACTATTAGAAGTAAATTCTTGGTGTTTGGCAATAAACATGCAGATTTGACTCTTTGGAGGGGAAAACTAATACTCCCCATGATGTTGAGGCCCACATTTTAGTTTAAAGCCAGGAAGCTGCTGTGAAAAAGGCACTTATTTGTTAGTGAAGGCAGGAGTCACATTTCAGTGAGTCTTTGTAGTTTCCATTTGTTGACACGTGTTAAACCTCATAAAGTAACAAAAAAGAAGAATGCTGATAAGTGAAAAAATGAAGACAAGACACCATTAAAAAATAGCATTTATTGACTAATATGTCAAATTTATCAATGGATTATATCTATCATATGAAAAATACACCTTAGCTCTACCATAATGAGTAAAGAACCTACAGTTTATGAAATTGTTTTAGGCAGCACTCTCAGCTCTTGGAAAGTGTGAGAATATGTGACACAAATGTGTAACTTGACACTGATGGATGAGTTCAGGGTTGAGTTTTATAACACACTAGAGGCCCAGTGCATGAAATTCATGCACAGGCAGGGGCGAGGGGACCCCTCAGACCAGCCTGCACCCTCTCCAATCCAGGACCCTTCTGGAGATGTCCAAATGCTGGTTTAGGCCCGATCGGCAGTCAGACATCCCTCACAATCCTGGACTGCTGGCTCCTAATCGCTCACCTGTCTGCCTGACTGGTTGCTCCTACCTGCCCCCCTGCCCGCGTTGTCACCCCCAACTGTCTCCCTGCCGGCCTGGTCATCCCCAACTCCCCCCCACTCCCCCCAACCAGCCTGGTCACCCTCACGACCCCCCTGCCGGCCTGGTGTTCAGTCGTTTGGACATTCCTCACTAACCCTCATGCCAACCTGGTCGCCCCACGCAGCCTGCTGTTCAGTTGTTTCATTGTCCCTCACTAACCCACCAGCCTGTTCGCCCCACACAGCCTGCTTATTCAGTTGTTTGGTGGTCCCTCACTAACCCCCCTGCCAGCCTGGTCGTAGGCAGCCATCTTGTGAGGGTGTGAGGGTTAATTTGTATATTACCTTTTCATTATATAGGATTTAAGGAAGAAACATCATCAATTTTAAACTACAGCATATCCTTAAATAACAGCATTTCATTTAACCATTTCCTTATCGTGTTAACAAGATGCTGTAAAAATTTAATCTTTTTTATATCAGTTAGCCTATTGTAAAATTGGTTTTGTTATAGTTTTTTTGCTTAAAGTCACAAAACCTATTGATGATTTTAAGAGGACTTACTGTATTCCAAATAATAAAAAAGAGGGAATATTCTTCAGTTCATTTTATGAGACTAGATACTAAAATCTAGTATTACTGTGATAATTTTACAGAAATGGAAGATTATAGTCCACTTTTATCCATGAAATAAATGAAGGTATTCAAAACAAGATACTAGTAAACCAAGATCAGCAATCCATAGAAGTTGAGTTTGTCCCAGGAATACTGGTTCAAAAACAAAAAATTAATGTAATTTGCCAAGAGAAGAATAATCAGTTTACAATAAATATAGGAAAAAGAGCATCTACAAAAACCCTAAGACAAATCTCATGGTGAAATATTGGGAATATTTCATTGGGATACAAAATAAAGCAATGCTTGCTGTCACACTTCTAACATTATACCAGATATCTTGCCTAATGCAATAATGCAAAAAATTTTTTAAATTAAAAAGGATTCGAAAAGAAGGAACCATACATATTACTATTTTGGGATGATTCAGTGTATGTATGTAGGAAATCCAAAGGCATTTACAGTTAAATTATTAGGATTAATAAGATTTTAGCAAGATTGCCATATTCAAATGTATAAGTAATCATTTGTGTTACTATATATCAGATATAAACAATTAGTAAATGAAATTTTTAAGAATTCCAATAGCACCAACTAAATAAGGTACCTAGGAATACATTTAATAAGACATGTAGTGACTGAAGAAATTGACAAAACTTAGATATTAAAGAAAAAAATGGAGAAAGTGTGTTTATGGTTTGGACAACGTAGTATTATAAAATGTTTTTACTTCTGTTTAATTTATAGAGTACCATTTCGATCAGTTTTTCAGCATGTAATTTTGTGGAACTTGACAAGCTGATTTGATTCTAAAATGTATATGTAAATGCAATAGGTTAAGAGGCCAAGATATCCTTTAAGTAGAGAACAAAATGGAAGGAATTGCCATCAGATGTCAGAACATTACAAAACTGCTGTAATTAGGATATTGTTATATTGGTAAGTATAGGATAATGTGATATTGCCAAGTAGAGTAGTGCAGCAGAGTCCAGAAACCTATCATATACATGTATGTATGTGATGGCAATTATTTGGCAGATCATTTGGGAAATGATTGTCTTTCAGTAAATGGTGGTGTTAATTTGCTATTCATGTTGGGTGAAATATAAAGGAATGTCTTCATGAACTTCAAATAAGATTTCTTTTTTTTTTTTTTTTTTAATATATTTTATTGAGTTTTTACAGAGAGGAAAGGAGAGAGATAGAGAGTTAGAAACATGGATGAGAGAGAAACATCGACCAGCTGCCTCCTGCACACTCCCCACTGGGGATGTGCCCGCAACCAAGGTACATGCCCTTGACCGGAATCGAACCTGGGACCTTTCAGTCCGCAGGCCGACGCTCTATCCACTGAGCCAAACCGGTTTCGGCTTCAAATAAGATTTCTTAAGACACAAGTACCCTTGGCACATAAAAGTAAATTATCAATTTTACCATTTTAAAATTAGAAACTTCTTTTATTCAAAAGGCACAATAAAAATAATGAGAAGACAAGCCATCAAGTAAAGATGCTACTCATAGCACATATAACCTGTATAGGATTAGTACTCAGGATATATATATATAACTTCAACATACCAATGAGTAAAACCAGATAATACACAGGAAAAGTGGACAAAAGTCTTATACATCTACTTCACAAAGAGGAATTCCAGATGGACAGTAAACATACGAAAGATGCTCTCTTCATTGGTAATTTGGGGAAATAGAAATTGAAAACATATTTTGATACCATTTCCTTTCAGGTGAGGAAAGGTAAAACACTTTAAAAATCTAACAATACCAGATATAGGTGAGGTTTTGAAATAAAAGGAATTGGTTTTATTTAATACTAGAGGCCCGGTATACAAATTCATGCACCAGTGGGGTCCCTCGTCCTGGCCTGTGGGATCGGGCCGAAACCAGCTCTCTGACATTCCCCAAGGGTTCCCAGATTGTGAGAGGGTGCGGGCCAGGCCAGGGGACCCACCAGTGCATGATTGGGGCTGGGGAGGGACGCGGGAGGTTTGCCAGCTGAGGAGGGACCGCGGGAGGGCTGCAGGGTGTGTGCAGCCCATCTATCTCACGCAGTCCCAATCAGGTATACCCCAGCAACAAGCTAACCTACTGGTTGGAGCAACTCCCCCGTAGTGGTCAGTGCACGTCATAGCGAGTGGTGAGCAGCTTTAGCATGCTATTAGCATATTACGCTTTGATTGGTTGAATGGACAACCAGACACTTAGTATATTAGGCTTTTATTATGTAGGAGTTTGTTCTTGGGTGAGTAAATTGGTATAGTATTTTTAAGGGGGGGAGCATTATCTAGAAATACTGAAAACTAGAGGCCCGGTGCACAAATTCGTGCACCTGCAGGGTCCCTTGGCCTGGCCTATGGGATCGGGCCAAAACCGGATCTCCGACATCCTCCGAGGGATCCCGGATTATGAGAAGGCACAGGCCAGGCCGAGAGAGGGATCCCGGATTATGAGAAGGCACAGGCCAGGCCGAGGGATCCCACCGGTGCACAATTGGGGCCGGGGAGGGATGTGGGAAGTTAGCCCGCCGGGGAGGGACCATGGGAGGGTTTCAGCTGTGTCTCACTCAGTCCTGGTTGGCCAGACTCCAGCAGCAAGCTAACCTACCAGTTGGAGTATCTACCCTCTGGTGGTCAGGATACGTCATAGAGATTGGTCGACTGGTCAACTGTCCCCTGGTGATCAGTGCACATCATAGTGAGCTGTTGAGCAGCCTTAGCATATCATTAGCATGTTACTCTTTGATCAGATGACCAGACACTTAGCATATTAGGCTTTTATTATATAGGATTCTAGCAGTTCCATCACTTGATATGTACCTTAGTTAGGGACATGTACACATATGCAATAGGATACACACACACACACACACACACACACACACACTAATGTTTATTAGCAGCATTTTCAATAAT